CGGGCAAGTAACATGCCGATGACAAAGGGAACAACGTATGTAGTTATGTGGTTTGACCGATAAAGATCTTCGTAGAATATGTGGGAACCAATATGAGCATCCAGGTTCCGCTATTGGTTATTGACCGAAAATGAGTCTCGGTCATGTCTACATAGTTTTCGAACCCGTAGGGTCCGCACGCTTAAAGTTTGGTGACGATCGTATTATGAGTTTTTGTGTTTTGATGTACCGAAGGTAGTTCGGAGTCCAGGATATGATCACGGACATAACGAGGAGTCTCAAAATGGTCGAGACGTAAAGATCAATATATTGGATGACTATATTTTGACACCGGAATGGTTTCAGAAGGTTTCAGACATATACCGGAGTACCGGGGGGTTACTGGAACCCCCCGGGGGGTTATTGGGCCTCATGGGCCCTAATGGAGAAGAGGAGGGGCGGCCAGGGCAGGCCGCGTGCCCCCTCCCCCTCTAGTCCGAATTGGACAAGGAGGGGGGGGGGCTTTCCTTCCTCTCTCTCTCTCTCTCCCTTCCTTCCCCTCTCCTACTCCAACAAGGAAAGGAGGAGTCCTACTCCCGGTGGGAGTAGGAATCCCCCCTTGGCGCGCCCTCCTCCTGGCCGACCGCCTCCCCCCTTGCTCCTTTATATATGGGGGCAGGGGGGCACCTCTAGACACAACAATTGATTATTGATCTCTTAACCGTGTGCGGTGCCCCCCTCCACCATATTCCACCTCGGTAATATCGTAGCGGTGCTTAGGCGAAGCCCTGCGTCAGTAGCATATCATCAACACCGTCATCACGCCGTCGTGCTGACGGAACTGTCCCGCAAAGCTCTGCTAGATCGGAGTTTGTGGGACGTCATCGAGCTGAACGTGTGTGCTGAATCGGAGGTGCCGTACGTTCGGTACTTGATCGGTCGGATCATGAAGACGTACGACTACATCAACCGCATTGTGCTAACGCTTCTGCTTTCGGTCTACGAGGGTACGTGGACAACACTCTCCCCTCTCGTTGCTATGCATCACCATGATCTTGCGTGTGCGTAGGATTTTTTTTGAAATTACTACGTTCCCCAACACGTGATTTATCATCGGCGAATTGCCACGCACCATCTTCGTAGCGCGACATCCCAAGAAGGATCTCCGCCACCTATTGCTACGCTATGCTCGATCCCTCATGCACACACAACAAAGCACCGGTAAAACATGGAAGCGTCTGCCGGAACATGAACCTACCAACATCCACCGGTCCACCTAATCGGTGCAAACTCCAAGAAAATGCTCCCAAGAGAGTAAAACAACACCATTGGCATCATCATCTGATCTGAGATCACACCTAGGGTTTCCTCTGTAGCAACAGGCGGGTAGGCAAGAATGGTATTGATGACACCTTCAACAAGGGAAGATGCCGAAAAGGCATCACCATCGTTGGCTTGGAAAATATCCAAACATGGCTTTCGCCGTCCATCCCGTCACAGACGAACAATACGTACCGAGGAAGTCGTCCAATACGAAACCACACCATTACCTCATGCCTGTGGCCGATCCAAAAGCCATGGATGCGCCGCCAGTGGTCACACACCGAATTGACGTTCGTCAAGCCCTCCTGTCACGCGCATCGGAGATGCACCACTAAGCCCCGCTGTTGTACGATTTTGGTATGCATGCGTCGAGCGACACCACATGGAAGTGCATAGGAAGCCGACCGACCTCCAAGCGCCACCGGATCAGCCATCCTACCGTCATGCCCTAGTTGCAGCTGACGTCCCACACATAGATTGCACTAGGCGCCACCACGGAAAGAAGCCTCGTCGCCATCGTCCACCACGTGACCTTCAGTCGGCGGCCTCCTCAAGTTACGACAAGGGGGGAGGGTAGAATGAGCTGACAGCGGAGGAGCTGATCACGACCCCTGCCGCTCGGGTGAGCGACACGGGGTCCGATCCAATTTTCTTAGAGCCATTAAGCTTGCTGACTTGTGTGGTGTAACTCAAGGACAACTCACAACAAAAAAGTGAAACATGCATAACTTGGTCATACATACTCCGATTTCGATGATCTTGGGCTCATTTATAAGCTATTGACAAGCCCAGGGTCCTCGCATAGAGAACCACCCAAGACCAGCCAAAAAGGAGGACACAACAAATACAAAAGGTTTGAGCACTCTACATATAACGTGATCAAGCTACTCACCCCGATATTCCCTCTTGCCAGTACGACTACCAATCCTATAATCTGGCCTCCCACTAAGCATTTTGAGACCAACAAAACTAAGAAAACCTAGCTAAGTTACACCCATTTCTTTGTGCATTCCACTTGAGCTTCTTGACAACATTTATGCTTGCCTCGATTTGGTTTCGTTTTCTTGACCATAATCACTTGGTGAAGATTCTTAATTTGCTTCCCCATATTGCAATAGGAAAGCCTTCACTTAAGCACATATTCATATGTTCATCATCACCACGTGGACCGCAGGCTCAGGCATATAATCTCAGGATGCTTATCGTGAACTTGCACTTCTCAAACTTGACTACCATGATCACCACTTAATGTCATCTTCACATGGGCTACTTAAAAAATATGTTGAAGCAAGCCCATGAGAAACACCTAACCATGTAGACACACCAAACAAAACACACAGATTAGTTCATGATAGCACAATTCACAATTACTTACTCATACCACTAGTTCACTTGATCATACACGGTATATTTTTCGCGTTTGTGTGTTAACCATCCAGTGTACGATCCTTGAGCTTAATCTTGGCAACCAACATATTTTCATTATCCATTTTGATTTCTTGAAAGCCACAACAAACTGTTTATTTCACTTTACTACTTCAAGACTAAACCACCAAAGAATCTTTCATGGCCATACCAAGTTTCACCATGAATATCATATCGGTCATCACTTGCTCTTCTAAATGCTCCATCACAACCTCTTGAGAGCACATTGAATTCTTCACTTTAGTTGCTTGCTTCAAGACTTGATCAACCAAAACCCACCACATGAGCTCACAATGATCTTGTCTTGAAACCATAACTTGAATTCTTCTCTTTAATTACTCTCTCAAGTCCTTGATCCATATAAGATCAAGTGTGTCAACCTTTTAGACCCTCCAATGAACCCCATCTCAACATGGTTGGTTTAGACACTGAACTCGATCTTGATGGCTCAAATAGAGGTCTCCAAATACTAAATGGTATCATCACTAGACAAGAGACCCGGAAGCCTTGGAGGCCATACACAAGCTCCGGCCCATCCATAGCCGACCACGGGTAACCCTAGGGACCCCAGGGTCAAGAGCCTGGAGCTTTGGGGTGTCCAGAGGCAAAAACCATCTAAAAACATGAGTCATGGAGTCCTAGATCTTAGAGCTTCGGGGTATCCAAAGAAGGATACCATGGAGCATAATAGTGGCTGCTTCTTCATAGGCATATAGCTTGAAATTTCCATTGCATTATTCCCAAATCCATCAAGCATTGCCAATGGAGCCTTTCTTCGTATAATTTCAATGTACTCGATGCTCCATAGGATTTTCATTCAATACCATAGCTCAGAGTATATTTGTATCTTTATGGCATTCATCGTTGAACCCATCAAATATTCTTAAGGTACCACATATAGAATCTCCCTTCAAATATATCCCAAATAAACCATTAGTCCATAGAGATTGTCTTGATTACCAAAACCACACTCAGGGGTTACATTCATTTTAAACCCCTTCCTCCTTCCTTGTCACCTTCCTCCTCCTCTTAGCTCCTTCTCCCACACACATTCTTGAGTTGGATGGCACGAGCAATAATGTTTGGATGTTTGATTTTCCACATCAATTCCATGTGTTTTCTCGGGTTTTGAATTGGACTCGAATATGGATCACTATAACAATGAAGCCTAAGAGATCACACTTCTGCATGAGTCATGAACCAAACATAATACAATTATGGATATCATATCACACTTAAGAAAGGTAAGTAACACCATGCGAGCATACAAAAAAAAATGGATAAAGATACACAAGTTGTGTATGCAGATTCAGAAGAAAAAGTCTTACAGGTCTTTCATGTAATGTTGAATCCCGGAAGTTACATATTATATACACCCCTCTTTTAGCGAAGTTCACACAAGTGATGGAGGACAACTTACAAGAAGTTCACAGGTTTTTAAACGGGGTGATGAGAGAATGAAGAAGACAAATCCACAATTCTACGTTGATCGAGGGTTGTGAGCACGAGAACCATCCTATATTTATCAACGAAAACATGTACTCCCTCCGTCCCAAAATAAGTGTCTTGAGCTTAATATACAAATTTGTACTAGAGCTAGTACAAAGTTGACACACTTATTATTTTAGGACGGAGGGACTTTGGCGCACACTTGTCTTTTCAAACGATTAATCAGGAGTTTTCAGCTCTGTTGCAATCATCTTTTTTTTTTGTTTCTGCTGGGTGGCGTGGGAGACTCCAGACCCACATGTAAGCGCACACACTCCAGCCGTCCCGTCCGGCGGTCCAGCCTCCCATCCCACCCCCCTCAAAAAAATTCCGAAAAGAAAGAAAAATGGAAAGGTAGTCTCTCGAGCGAAACCCTCCTCCCCTCCCCTCCCACAACCCGATCTCCCTCTCCCTCGCCGTTCTCTAGTCTCAGCTCCCCTCCCCCACCCCTCCCCGTCGGCCCGGCCCCCAAAACCC